GAGAAANAANANANAATATTTTGGGTTTGGGGGCAACAATTTATAACAAGAAATCGGAGATCAGACAGACTTCAGGGAAATGTTTTTCGTGAATATATTGTAGTAACCGGGGCTTGTATGATGTAATTTAACACCACTTCCTGAATTTCTCCACATACCACCCCCTTACTCCCACCCGGCGCCTGTTGGGCCACCTTCAGGCATGTATAATTTTGTTGATATCGACTAATTGTAATAATAATATGTCGTTTTTATACTGTCATATTTTACTTAATCATAGCGTTTCAGTACAGCACAGAGTATTGTAAAATGAATACAATTCAGGTATGCAGGTTTTATTGAACAATGAAGTTATTAAAGTTTTAAAATGCGAGTAATATATTTCGTTACAGGAAAGTTTATTGCAAATACATGCCAGAGGGCTAATTGCAGTTACAAACAACATAGAAAGAAAATACAGTGGTATGTGAGACTATATCTACTTCTAACATAATACTATATTCTACAACATACATGGTACTAGTTTTACTGGGTTTGACTTCTTCTTTTTAGGCAATGGAAGACGAATTTACCATACCAGGTACGGGTTCCGCTTCGTTAGGCCAGTGGAGCTGGTTAGTGATAATTTCTGGCGTCCAACTAGAAACCGATTGAAGCCTGCTGCCGACGTCGGGAACCCCCCACACGTAATCTTGTGTGAACGGAATTCCGCTGAACGTACTAATCAGAAGGTCGAACTTTCGAACTCCTGATGACGTCACGTTCGGTAGAAGACCCAGGAACGCCGGAGTCTTCACGTTCATGACCCCCAACTGTTTGAAGGTCAAGGTCAGAGAGAGGTGTGCGCAGCTGCAAAGCGTTAGGAAGAAACTCACAGTTCGTACGGTGGCAGCCATGTTGGAATGACGGGTGACGCTATCTACCGGCCCAATGTTGAATAGTGAAGACTTCGAAGGGAAAGAAACAACCTCCCCGCGGCCGGACTCTCTTGGCCAATTTTACTCTCCTTTTTTGCCGAATTCTGCGATCCGTATTCCCGTAGAAAGGCCTGGTGGAGGATAGTAAAAGATGACCTCTAAAACGTCCGAATTTTCACACAAAAACTTGAAGTAAAGCGAGGTTATAGCACCTGATTCCTCTGCATGTATTGAACGTACAATAATCACGAGTGCAACATGTGCATCTCTTGTTTGTCTCTGGTAAACAAATGATTACCTAACTAACCAGCACTAGTTAATCGTTAACCACAGATTGAGGTTAACAACCTACAAAAACTTGAAAGGATGCTGAGAGCAAGACAGTGTAAACCAAATAAATAAAAAAAAGACCCCACAGTTAAGTAGTACCAATATTGTCAACGTAGATGCCAATAATAAAATAACAATAATATTTATAAGTCGCCCAAACCCTCAAGTAAGAGTTATCTTGTTGCAAATACACGAGGTTGGATATTTGTTGTTGTTTGGCTGCGCTCAGTTGTAGAACGTTTCGAAGTTTTGGTCCGCACTTCCGGGTTTGAAGACAACACAGACCTTGCACAATGTTGCTCTGTAGAAGACTGTATGTTTTACTATTCACAGCGATATTCTCGGCATTTTTAAGAGTTAAGTGCCACGAGCAGCATGGAACCTCCACCGACGACTCAGTAGAATTCCATGAAAGTCACGCAGACGAAGAAATGTACGTTCTTTAACTTTTATTTTCTTGGCAACGTTACTTAAAACACCAACAGCAAACGCCTTGTTTCCTAAGGCTTTCTTAGAACTTAAGACACTCGGCAAGTCAGTCAAGTGTTGTAGAATACTTCTGAATGGCTGTGCAGTTTATAATTAATTTACAATGAAAACATTAGAAGCATACTCTACTCATACTCGTAGTTTACTACGTAATACTAAAAGTTAAGACATTGCCTATATAACATAAGTTTGTCTTTCTCTTAATACAATGTACTTATAAATCTACTACGTACTACAAATCTTTATTGAAGAAAGGGGCATCTAGTCATTTTCAATGAAAGACACTTAATGTTATCTCTGTATTTTTTTGTCTCTTCAGTCACCAGATGAAACACCTGTTTGACAGGTTAGACATGGATGAAGAAGGCATCAGGTACTGTAGATTTACTTATTTTCGTGGGACTCAGTTTGGGTTAGCCTGGTATCCAGTCTTACGTGGTTGGGGTATAGTAGTTACTCTCCAAGCAGAGGTTTGGGTTTGGGGTTATTTTTGGCATGTTTTTAGGCTTTTTTTATCGGGGTTTCTCTTTTGCACTGGATTTTTTTTTCACCCAACCCCAGTGCAAAAGAGAAACCCCGTTAAAAAAGCCTAAAACATGCCAAAAAATAACCCCAAACCCATCATGCAGTTATATCTTTTTATAAGGAAGTGAAACGAATTTTGTAGTAAAGTAATAAAACAATGGAAATGCACAATGGGATGTCACTGCAAAAATAAAACTGGAAATATTTGCCCTGGAAATATTTTAACACCTACAGTAAGGGTATGTGCATCTTTTCTAACTGTCAAACTTACTAGTATCCAAATCATTACAATACTATAAAACTATTTATAGACAGATCATCCTGAAGAATAAAAGAAATAGCCTGTGTAAGAAGAAAGAAAGAAATATGCATAATAAATATGTATTTGCAACAGGTCCCTGTTTTATCTTAAAAAAAAATCGTTTTTTTATTGCATGCAGGCACATCAAAGACCACCTGAGCAAAATTATCAAACTTCCAGAAGGAATAGATGACATTGATGATGGGCAAGGTAAGTGGCGATGGTGTCATCTAAATGTTTCAAAGACCAGATTGAAAGGATTTAGTTATTCACTTAGTCTTTTTGATACAAGGGATCTCTCCTCAAACACAGGACCTCCAGTTTTACACCTCTTGACTATTCAATTTCCCCTGATCCAAAAATTTACTTGCCCATCAGGTAAGTACAGGGGGATATTCACTTGCCCGAACAGTGCTTTTACTTGCCCTGGGCAAGTGGGCAATGGGACTTGTCCAACCCTGCTTCTAGGGATTTGAGCCCAGAACTTATAGCTACATCAACCATTCCAACTCAACATCTCTAACCACAAGACCACCTGCATGCATGCATTCCATTTTATTGTTCAGAATGTAAGGCCATATGCAAGGCAAAATGCCCAAATCCATTCCAAACGACAAGAAGAAAATGTGAAGGAATGAAAATGAAGAGTCTATTATTCACCATGCCAAAAGAATATTACTGTGTGTGTTTATTCATTTGTTGAACTTCATGACCACGTAGATTTCATAATGAAGGCAACTTTTTTGGGGGGCCAAACTTTTTTTTTATTCGCACGCTTGCATCAGTTTTGGGGTTCCCAGAGGACGTCAGCCATATAATCAAATCAACATGGCCTAAGGGATAATCAAATAACGTTTTCTGTCCCTTTACTCCCCCCCCCCCCCCACCTCCAGCAATGTTTTACCTGTTCCAGCTGCACGATTTCGACAGGAACAACAAGCTGGACGGTCTGGAGTGGCTCTGGCTGCTGACCGACTTTGCGGACACCGTGCCGGTCAGCGAGTCCGGCCAGACCGGGGGGACCATGCATCTTAGAGAGGTCAGGGGTCAACTTAGCCTCTACCAGGCTTCGGGAGGCGGCTGGAAAGAGTAGAAATTGGCTAAATAGAGAGATAACATGCCAGGGGAGTTGGTCCGCTGGAGAGTACAGTTTGCCACGAACTGCACTCTCCAACTCAATACAGATCAACTCCCCTGGCATGTTTTCTCTCTTTTTGGCCAATTTCTACTCTTTCCAGCAGCGTCCCAAAGCTAGCTTCTACCAGGCTTCAGGAGGCGGCTGGAAAGAGTAGAAATTGACCAATAGAGAGATGGCATGCCAGGGGAGTTGGTCTGCTGGAAAGTACAGTTTGCCAGAGTACAAACTCTATGTGCAAACCAACTCCCCTGGCATGTTATCTGTCTATTTGGCAAATTTCTACTCTTTCCAGCCATCTCTCAAAGCCTGGTAGAGGCTAAGGTCAACTATTTATCTAGCCTTGTCTGGTTACCAAACCTGTTTTAGCTGCCAGGTCTCTTTCGTCCTCTCCGGAAAATTTGAGAGCATGAAAGAGACTTGGTAGCTAACATAGGTTTGGTCAGCGGGGTACTATTTATTTATACAAGAAATCTAGAGCCGCACAGTTCCCATGTAGAACTTTTATTCTGCCTGTCACACGACTGGTTTCATGACTCTGCAGGCTTCGAGTGTATGCAGGCTAAAAATGTGTTTGAATGATTTGATTTTCTGTGAATTCGAGGGGATTCATTCCTCAAGCTAACTGACATCTTGCACACGCAGTCGTCCCTCAGTAAGACATCTGGAGCCGCATAGATCCCGTTCAGTCTGTCACACAGCCTTGTGCGAGATGTCGGTAGCTTGAGGAATGAATCCCCTCTACTATATACTAAATGATTTGACTTTCTATTGGTTTGTTCCTGTGCTTCAGGCGGAGGTTTTGGTGGACAAGCTGCTGAATAACCATGACCTGAACCGAGACGGCTACGTGGACTTTGCAGAAATGTCTGCCATAGATAAAGGAGGGGAAGGTGTTTGGACAAAGGTGGGAAAAATAGACCCTGAAACTTTGTAAAACACTACAACTACTAGTACTTATAGTTTAAATCTGCGATGGGCACATGTTGAGTGTGTTGTGGACAGAAAAGCAACACTTTGCAGTGCCATGGTTTCATAGTGGAGAGGTCACTGTGAAAACCAATAAAACATTGCAGATGACCTCTACCAGGCTTCAGTGGTGGCTGGAAAGAGTAGAAATTGGCCAAATAGAGAGATAGCATGCCTGGGGAGTTGGTCCACTAGAGAGTACAGTTTGCTACCCTAGCATGTTATCTGTCTATTTGGCCAATTTCTACTCTTTCTAGCCACTTCAGAAAGCCTGTTAGAGGCTACTGTAAACATATTTGGTTAACATTCCAGGGATAAAGATTTCTGTACGGTGAACTAAGGTTATTTTTTTGGTCAACATTTATGGGGAATGGTTTATTGAATACATATGTGCAATGTAGAGAAGTGAAGAACAGTTAAGACTTAAACCATACATCAATATGGCATCATGTTATGTTGAACAAACGTTTATTATGGTATAGAATAATTTGAACTGTACAATGTGGTTGTTGTGACTGTTATCTGGCTCTTCTGTCAATTATCATAACTAGTGCTGCATACCTAAACCCACATTTAGGTTCAGGTCCGGATTCAAGTCCAGAGGTTTAGGTTCAGTTCTGGACTTGTAAGTCCGGACCTGAACCCATGGCATATACAAAATTGCATGTTGGCAACCTTGCAATGTTGTCTGGGTGAAATTTTGGCCACACAACATGGAGGCTGACACTTGACGATGCCCAATGGCAATGTTTTCTTCATTTTGCAGCAAACTTTTTGCAATCTACGGAAGGTTTTAGGTGGTTTGGAAAGAAAAGGGGTTTGTGAAATGGTCTTTTATGCCATTATGGTAATGAGTCCGGACTCGGTTCTTGACTTTTAGGTTTTTTTGGACTTGAACCTAAACATTTTTACAAGTCCGGATCCAAGTCCAGTGAACCGGTATGCAGCACTAATCATAATTATTGAGTTAAAATGATCTATGCACAGCAGATTGGTATACTATAGGAAATAGGGTTTATTTTTTACAAGGTGAAATAAAATGTGCATTGGTGTTCAGAAACTGGCTTGTGGTCTTGTTTGTAACAACTAGAGATACAATAAAACATATGTGCCTCTGCCATATCTGAAACATTGCACTTTACTGCATGTAGTGTTCACTATCTTTCACTGTTTGTCCTTATCAAAATCACTAACTGTAAGAGAATCCTTACATTTATTTAAAGATTGTCATAAACACTTCTGCTGTTCTTTCAAGTGGTATAAACATTAGTAAATCAAGTATTAGCTATGACACAATTAGCTATTAGTTGTAGAGAACCAGTATTTTGTGCCATAATACTTTAGAGGACAACTTGTTCCGATTATATTGACTCTCACTGAACAAGATGCTAGTTTCAGCATCAATTTTAGATCACTAAACCCTCTACCCTTTTTGTAAGTCTGAATCTTTCATTGAACAAGATGCTAGTTTTCGTACAAACTTTGGATGTGCGTTTACATCACTAAATCCTCCACCTTTTTATAAGCCTGAGTGCAATACTAGTTTCAGTACACAATTTAGACACAATACTAATATCTCCACCCTCCAGAGTACATGTTCTTAGGTAGCACTGTTCAAATCGCCACTTGTCCACACACAGACCCTGATTTAGTACAACCTGTTATAGTACAAACTTAGGCCACACCAATTTTTTTTGTTGGTTCTCGGATTTTTTCATAAAAAATATGAAGCGACAGGGCAAAAAAAAATAAAAATAAAAACCGGTCTAGGCATCCTATTATAGCCCCAAATGCTACAATATGAGCCATGAAGTCAACAAAAAAGGCTGGGTTAAAATTTAAAGTATAAATTTTGAACTTTTAATCAAACCCCTGCATTGATAGATGAAAAACAAACTGTAACAACTAGGAAGAAAAGGACTTTCCTCAACTGTTGGGGGCAAAATATGAGCATTTTTGAGTTGATTCAGAACCAGAATCTTTTTTTTTTTTGCAAATCAGAAGAAAATGAAGAGGCGAATCCGAGAACCAACAAATTAAATTGGTGTGGCCTTAACACAAGTTTAATACCTCCATCCTCCAGAGTACATGTTCTTAGGTAGCAGGTTACACTGTTCAAATCTCCACTTATCCACACACAGACCCTGTTTTAGTACAACCTGTTATAGTACAAACTTAACATACTTTAATACCTCCATCCTCCAGAGTACAATGTTTTTAGGCAGCAGGTTACACTGTTCAAATCGCCACTTGTCCACACACAGTCCCTGTTTTAGTACAACCTGTTATAGTACAAACTTTACACACGTTTAATATCTCCAGCCTCCAGAGTACACTGTTCAAATTGCCACTTGTCAACACACGCCCTGTTTTAGTACAAACTTTAGATGTTTGTGTACATCACTAAAACCGAAACCACCATTTTGTAAGAAGCCTGAATAAGATGCTAGTTTTCCTACTGTCTACTAATACCTCCACCCTCCTGAGTACATGTTCTTAGGCAGCAGGTTGCACTGTTCAAATCGCCACTTGTCCACACAGAGGCCCTGCTGGCCCATCAGTGTGTCTATGTCCTCCAGATACCTCTTCACAGGCTCTGGGGTGGAGTCACAGGCCTCCACACCGTGGACGCTCACAGCCACCTGCTTTGTGCTGCAGTTCTTCGACTTCTTCCTAGGGGGCTCTCCTGAGGCGGTGCTTTGAAGGTCGATAGTCACGTATACTCCACGAGACTCCTGGAATATAACATTAGAAGGAAATCAGAAAAATACTAGTACTAGTCAATATAGAATACATTGTACTACGCTGTGTATACTATTCCACATCACCCAAGTCAAGATCTCAGCCCGACTGCCCAAACCGTCATCTTTGATGAACAAAAATTGGTGTGAGATATAGAAAGAGATGCCATTCAATTAAGCTTAGTCTACAAGCAACATTTGCCCCTCAAAATGCAGGAAAAACTGCTTAAGAGATTTCAAGAATTTTCTCGGACCTGGTAAAGATTGTTGCATTTGTCGCGAACACAATATTTCCTCAAAATTGGAATGACATTAAGAAATTTCAGTCCGGCTAAAACACTGTTTCAAACCATACCTTTTAGATGTTTTCTGATTACCTTAGGCCACACCAATTTAATTTCTTGGTTATAGATTTTTCTAGAAAAATAATGGAGTGGGCGGGCAAAAAAAATAAAAAATAAAAAAAAGCCCCAGGCATCCTATTATGGCCCAAAACGGTATGATAGGAGCCATGAAGTCAACACTCCAGGCTGGTTCAAGATTTAAACAATGAATTTTGAACTTTTAATGATACCACTGCATTGAAAGATGGAATAACTGTAACAACTAGGATGAAAAGGACTGTTTTCAACTGTTCAGGGCAAAATATGAGCATTTTGCAGTTGATTTTGAATTTTTTTTTTTTTTTTTGCAAATCAGGAAAAAATGAAGAGGCGAATCCAACAAATTAAATTGGTGTGGCCTTACTTGAAAGTAAAGCTAGGAACCAACCTGGAAGTACTTGTTAGCCTGGTAAGGCACCATCCCTGTTGCCGTGACAACCCCGCCTCCATATTTCAGCTTCACTTCAAACGGGAACTGGCTGACTGACGACAGGTAGGTGTGGTACGCCAGGGAAGTCTGCAAAAAGAAAAAAGGGGTTCAGTCTGGATCCCAAAGTCCCTGCGTAACTCAGAACAGTAGGCCTGGGATTGAGGTGTTCAAAAATTTCTTTTTTTTTCCTAGAAATGATGATTGTAAAGTGGAACTTCCTGCCACCAAGTACAGATCAACAATTTTATGGACAAACAAGCTGTGATCTCCGCCCCATAAAATGTCAAGTGTTAGGGGCGTTTTGCATAGGTCCATCAGGTAAATGAAAAAAATGTTCTCAGACCATTCATCAGATCTCATTCGCCAGTTTAACTGTGCCATTGGATATAATGATTAATAAGCACCTTTTATGGCTGCATATCCAATACAAAAACATTTCCTGAGATTGCAAAGCACACTTCTTCGTTATAGGCTTAAACAATTAAAAAATGTCTCCCAAATCTAACAGCTATGTCAATATTTATTTGATATCTGGTGGAATCAATAATAAGGAATCTATGATTGACCCAATCATGCATTTTTTGGCCCAATCATTTCTTAGGACTCTGTTAGACACGAAGGATTAATTGTGGAAAGAGACCTTAGGTCTTGTATTACCTGCATGAGAGGGTAGGCTGATGTCAGCACGTTCCACTGCCGTTCGTACGTGTCCACTTTGGGGAAGGACTTGATTTTCTTAATTTTGGGCGGGTTGTTGATGTAGTCTTTCTTCATGGCTGCTGCAACCTTGGAAGGAGGGAAGGAATAAAGGTTGATATAAAAATCAAGGGAACAAGTATAGCCCTTCGCCAGTGTCACATGTCCATATGCCGTCACCATAGACTTTTTTGGGGGTAGACCCCTGCAAGGGACATAAATAACTTTTCAAGCTGATCAACCTTTTCTAGCTCCATGATCTGACACCTGAATGGCAAAACATTGTACAATTGGTTTTCTAACATTGACATTGAAAATAAAAGTGTCCTCATGCAAGTTTTACTTTGTTTAACTGTATTGCATGAGTTGGACCCTATATAGATATCACTGAAGTTTGAAAAAAAAAAGATCATCCCTACCTACCGAACCTAATTTTTTCAGGACTGAAACAGGAAACACAACATTTTTTTCCTTGGCCTAACGTCTACCTTTCGCTTCTCCTTTTTCTGCTCCTTGTCCCCCACATTGTATCGCAGGTCACACCAGATGTCCCCCAAGCTCCGGATGTTGGTGAAGATGGAGCTGTTGTAAAACTCACGCAGAACTGCAAACACCTGGGCGAGCGGAAAAACAAAAGGGAATATATCATACTGTAGATCTCAAAACATTTGCTTTACTGTGATGACCTCTTCATCGCAAATGTACACTGTTGAGTCCCCTTAATCCTACTAATAGTGTCCAGTCTTTGATTAAACTGCTGACTTAGTCCCTGATACAGGGGTGGGCAGCAGTCAGGTAGTCTTCACACCATGTTTACAAGGGGATCTGTCCAGTGGGTTCATACCAGCAAGACTGCACTCTCTAATGTCGGACAGTCCTTTCTGACACACTCCATCCAGGTCTTCCTTGGGTTACCCAAACCTCTGTTGTGCTGGCAGTTGTAGTTCAGTGATGGAGTTCATGCAGCCACTGGCTTGTTTAACGTGCTCATGCCCCCTGAGTCGGCATGATCTACTATTCTAGTCTCACCAGACTCCTTCGCAGGCTGAATAAATAGTGGAAATCTGTCTAAAAAGAATGTATCTGGCCAGGAGAGTTAGCCGGCCATAGAGGGTCCAGTTTGCAGGCAAAGGACTCTGGTGGAGACTGGGCATGATCAACCACACCTAGCTTTGCATATAGAGTGAAGCTGAATCCTAATCCTAATCCTAAGATATCATTTCATTTCATTTATTGGTGATGCCAAACAACGCATTACGAGTGGGAGCCAGGCAGCCAAAGGCTGGTGGCGGCTGCCACTGGTACATAGTTTCAAGTTTTATTAATAAAATCAGCCTTGCAGCCAGTTTACAAAGTTGACCAAGCTGAATTACACTGATTTTTACAAATTTTGTACATAGTAGATACAAATACACATTTACATGACAATACATATACAGGCACGCAAACGAACATGTTACAACATCACACAATACACAAGGGCACTGAAGTAAAGTCCAGAGTCTTGAAAGTCATTGCTACAATGACTCGTTGTACAGGCGTATTGCCTTGTGTAGGAAAGAGTTTTTCAGTCTTTTGGTGCGGGCTGCTACATACAACACAACACAGGTGTGTGTCTCACCTTGGCAGGAACAGCCTCTCCACTGTGGATCCAGTCATCCTCCAGCTGGTCAGGATCAGACAGATCATCCACATCCCTAATCCCAATCTTAATCCTTTTAATCCTAAGATTACAGGTGTGTGTCTCACCTTGGCAGGTACAGCCTCGCTGCTGTGGATCCACTCATCCTCCAGCTGGTCAGGATCAGACAGATCATCCACATCCCTAATCCCAATCTTAATCCTTTTAATCCTAAGATTACAGGTGTGTGTCTCACCTTTGCTGGTACAGCCTCACCACTGTGGATCCAGTCATCCTCCAGCTGATCAGGATCAGACAGATCATCCACATCCCTAATCCCAATCTTAATCCTTTTAATCCTAAGATTACAGGTGTGTGTCTCACCTTGGCAGGAACAGCCTCGCTGCTGTGGATCCAGTCATCATCCAGCTGATCAGGATCAGACAGATCATCCACGAAGGCATCGGTGGGAACCAAAAGTTCCTGGTTCAGGTACTCAACTGTAACACATTACTTGATGATTACACACATTTACAAGAACGGTTCAGTCAAATGTATGTATGAGGTTAGGTAATGAGAAACATCCAGGTAAGGAACCAACAGTTCCTGGTCCAGGTACTGGACTGTCAAACATTACAAGAACAGTTCAGTCAAATGTATGTATGAGGTTAGGTAATGTATGTATGAGGTTAGGTAATAGATTCATCCAGGTAAGGAACCAACAATTCCTGGTCCAGGTACTGGACTGTCAAACATACGGGAACGGTTCAGTCAAATGTATGTATGAGGTTAGGTAATGAGATACAAAATGATCCAGGTAAGGAACCAACAGTTCCTGGTCCAGGTACTGTCAAACATTACAAGAACAGTTCAGTCAAATAGTTCTTGCCTCTTGCAATGGCCGGAAACCTTTTAAATACATGCCTAGTGCTCCACATGTATTGCTGTTGTTTCGATTTGGATAAAGAAGAAAGAAAATACATGGTAAGAGTATAACCTTTAAGCTGATCATTTGGTGGCTGCATGCAATATATACAATACCAAATTGGTGAGGAGTGAGGAAATTCGTATTAAGTTTTTTTCCCAAGGACACAACACTGGGGCCTGTGAGGGATTCGAACCCAGAACCTTAGAACATTAATCATAATGTCAACAGTCCAAAGACTAAGATGAGATACTTTTGACAAATACTTTTACTGATACACACAACAAAAAGTTAGCTTATACTCTGGTAAAGGGAGCTTTCGTGACACACTCAGATCATCCACATGGTAAAGATCTCGTCTTGGAGTTCTCATGTGACTTGATGTTGATTATCAGTTGACTAAGATAAGGACTGTACCTTGAAATCCGATCCCCGTCCCCGGTCGCTCGCTGCCGTCCTCCCCCTGCCGGAACCCCGTGACCTTGACCTTCAGAGTCGTGTTGTCAGGAAGCCAGACCTTCGCCGTGAAGGGGAACTCAAGACACTCCTCAATGCCTGCAGAAAACGTTGAGAAGTTTTGAGAAGTTGAATTACTGTGAACCTTGAAATGTTCGCAGTGGTTTTACGAAGTTCTCTATGCACCAACTCTATGCACAGTTTTCATTGTATTACTACTGTAATAAAGAACAACCACAAACTCGAAACACAGCCAAAACCTTTTTCCCTCCTACTTTGAAATTAAATCACAGCAAAAATATATAATTTTAGAGTATGCAGACTTTGAATTCAAATATCTGGATTGCAGTTGTCACCTGTTGTGTTACATGTACATACTGTAAATCGTTAAATATTTGCGGTCATTTCATTTCTACGTTTTTGAGGTGTTAATTTCTCCACTACAAAATCATGACACGACAAGCGTGTGCTTTCATGCTCCTGTATTGTTTTGACTGCCAACTTAAAACACGCCAATTTTCATTCCTACAAGACCACAAAATAAAATCACAGTGAAAGTAAGTGACTTATAAGTACCATACTGTAGACTGGTTGGTTCCTGCGAGAGCCCAGTTCCTGACAGCCATCCTACAAAACAAAACAACACACACAGAAACGTGTCTTAAATCCTGAAGGAAAAAACAGCGATGTTACATGATACCATAGTGTAGGTCTGGATGCTCCACAGACAACTTATGGTCCGACAGCCATTCTATATGTAACACAAGAGAAAGGGGTTGCCATTCTATATGTAACACAAGAGAAAGGGGTTGCCATTCTATATGTAACACAAGAGAAAGGGGTTGCCATTCTATATGTAACACAAGAGAAAGGGGTTGCCATTCTATATGTAACACAAGAGAAAGGGGTTGCCATTCTATATGTAACACAAGAGAAAGGAGTAACTCAAAGGTTGACTTTAACTTGGGATTGAACCTGCCAGCTCACAACCAGTGCACCAACCAACTAGGCCATAAGGTCTAGAACCCATTGGTCTGGTCATTTGGTGGTGCATATATACTCATTGCTACATATATGATAAAACAAAACACCTGACCTGGTTACTGTATACAACATTAGAATTTTCTTGGTTATCTCAATGAAGGTTAGACATCCAGGTAATGAGATACACAAGGAAATTGTTACTCAAGCAATGTTTAACAGGATAGATTTTGAAAACTGTCAGATGTTTCAAGTAGTCTTCAATCAAGGAGGTCTAAAATCAAACTTGTATTTAACCTCCTTGGTAGAATCCACTGCTTTTATGTTAGTGACCAATGGGTAGAGCTGTGTACCGGTACGCAGTACCGATACTGTACCGGAAAAATTGATTAGGTACAGGTCCAAAATACCTAATCCCTCAGTACCGGTACTGTACCTAAACAATTTCACACCAATTTTATGCCTATTTGTGACCTCAAATGTGTAAATAGCTGGTTAACAATGGGTCACTGTGTAAGGACAGTGTGTTCATGAAAACAAAAACATCTTTACTTTTACCTATATTTTATCTGAACATTCTCCATAAACAAAAATTAAACCTATATCAATGTTTTTCTTGTTATTACAGGAGTTCAGAAGAGCATATAAATTGGTCGAATTGTTCAGGTACAGGTTCAGGTCCGGACCTGTACCTAAACCTGTGTACCTGTACCTGTACCTGTACCTAAAATTTGTTTAGGTACACAGCTCTACCAATGGGACTCTGTTGTTAGTCACTGACCAAAAACTGTGGATGCTATTTGAAACATTTGACAGTTTTCATAATCTATCAAGTTGCTTGAGTAACTATTTTCTTGTGTTTCTTGTTTATCAGACATTTGGAACAAGAGCCAAGCAAGAGGACAACACTGAAAACAAAGGGTAGGCAAGAAAAGTTGAATGCCAGACTACAGAAACTGTATCAAGCTTTCATGTTACTAACTACATTCCAAGTAGATGCTTGGGTTTGGGCTTATTTTTGGGCCAACCCAAGCCTCTGCTCGGAGAGTAGTTACTAAGCAAAACTTTTATAATCAATGCCTTGTACATAAAAGTAAGATGAAGTGTTTCTCACTCCTTTTGGCAGCCCTGATGTCCCTGGCCAGGTCGCCTTTCCCGATATCCATGATGGCGTCTCCAGGACAGTCACTCCCCTCCCCGCCATGGAGGATCTCAGGCGCAGCTTCCCACTTCTTCCTGTGGGAGGAAAGTACAAGAGGTCAATGAACATTAGTGGCAGGGTGACCAGACAGAACAGAAAGATTGACCAATTGCCAGCAAGAACCGACCATTATAAAAAGAGCTCAATCCCATACTTTGTCACACTGTTGAACAACTCTGTATAGTAGGATATCCGTACAGTCCTTTTGTGCCTACAGGTTGTTTTTAGTGTCCTTGTATATACTATGACTTTAATAAGCTAGGGTTTTAAATAGTTGCAGCATTATGATTTAAATATATGATATGTAATATGTGCACGCAATTCAGCCTGTGGCTGCGATGTGAAACATGCCAATTGTACTGTTTATTGTATTTGTGAAATAAACCAATATATATGACAATGTATTTTCTCTCTAGGCAGATACTAGGGTGGCAAAAGACAGTATCAAATTGGCCAGGCAGTATCCATTGGCCAGAGAGGGTCCAATAT